AATATTAATGGTATCAGTTCACCAATCAAAAGAAATAGACTGGAAAAATGGGTCAAGAAGCAAGATCCAACAATATGTTGCATATAAGAAACACACTTAATTAAAATAGAAACTCATTTAATTTAAAAAGTTGAAGGGTGAAAAACAATATTCCATGAAACAGGAATACCCCAAAAAGCAGGGGTGGCTATCCTTTTTTCAGATCAAGTGGATTTCAAACCAACAATGATTAAGAGAGACAAAGAAGGACACTACATCCTTGGGAGGGGAACAATACAAGAGGAAGATATGACAACCATAAACATATATGCGCTAAACACTAGTGCACCCAACTATATAAAACAAATATTAATGGACATGAAAAATAAAATAAGCACAACACAATAGTAGTGGGGGACCTCAATATGTCACTGTCACAAATAGATAGACCAACTAGACAGAAAATAAACAATGAAATAGTAGAACATAATCAAATTCTTGAACAAATGAATTTAACAGATGTTTACAGAGTGATTCATCCCACAAAATCAGAATACACATACTTTTCAGCTGCATATGTGTCACTTTCCAAAATGGACCAGATACTCACTCATAGAATATGTTTAAGTAAGTACAAAGAAATGAACTTATCCTCTGTATATTATCAGGCCATAGTGCGATGAAATTGGAGATAAATAGCAAAAGAAACCACAGAATTTCACAAACAGAGAAACTGAACAACAGACTTCTGAATAACAAATGGGTCAGAGGAAATTAAGAAATCAGTTCCTACCATTAAATGACAATACAACATATTGGAATTTATGGGACACAATGAAAACAGTATTATGAGGGAAATTCATAGCAAAATATACATAAACAGAGCTAGTGAAATTAAATAATCTGATGCTGAACCTCAAGCTTCTAGAAAAAGAAGAGCAGGACAGAACCAATGCTCATACAAGGGAGGAAATTGTAAAGATCAGAGTACAAACCAGTGCAATGGAGACTTAAGAGAATGATGAAAAAAAAAATCTATCAAGCCAAGAGTTGGTTCTTTGAAAGAATAAACAAAATTGATAAACTCTTAGCCAGCCTTATCAAAAAAAGGAAAGAAAAGGCCCAAATCCATGCAATTAGGAATGAAAAGGTAAAATTACAACGGATCCAGCAATAATTCAGAGAACCATCAATACCTACTTAGAGAACTTATATGCCAATAAGATGGAAAATACAGAAGAAATGGACAAATTCCTAAATTCGTATGAATTACCACATTTCAACAAAAATGACCTAAAAATTCTAAACAACCGAATATCTATCAATCAAAATAAAAGCATAATTAAAAACTCATCAACTAAGAAAATCCCAGGACTTGATAGTGCTGAATTCTATAAGACAGATAGGGAGGAACTATTGTCACTACTGTTTAAACTCTTCATGAAATTGAAAGAGAAGCAATACTCCCAAATTCATTCTTGGAAGGACGTGTCACCTTCACCCCCAAAGCAGAGACAGACCCAAATGAAAAAGAAAACTATAGGTCAATTTCATTAATGAGCATAAATGCAAAAATACTTAATAAAATACTGTCAAATAGAATGCAGAAGATCATCAAGACGATCATACATCCTGACCAAGTGGGATTCATCCCAGGGTTGCAGGGATGATTCAACATACACAAATCAATAAATGTACACTATATTAATAGAGCCAAGGACAAAACCATATGATCATCTCAACAGATGCAGAGAAAGCATTCGACAAAATCCAACACGCATTTATGATTAAAAAAAATTGGAATAGATGGTCTCTACCTCAACCTGATTAAAACCATCTGTGAAAAACCAACAGCCAATACAATACTACATACTCAAAAACTGAAATCCTTCACACTAAAATCACAAACAAGACAAGGATGTCCACTATCACCACTCCTGTTCAATATAAATTTGGAAACATTAGCCAAGCAATTAGTCAAGAGAAAGAAATAAAAGGAAAAAAGTTAGGAAATGAAGAAGTCAAATTGTCTTTATCTGCAGATGACATGATACTCAATATAGAAGACCCCAAGAATGTCACAAAAAGTCTTCTAGACTTAACCGAATTCAGTAGAGTAGCTGGATACAAGGCCAATGCACAAAAATCAATAGCTTTCCTGTACATGAACAACAGATTCACTGAAAGAGGAACTGGAGAAACAACTCCTTTCACAATAGCATCCAAAACAAAAAACAACAACAAAAAAACAAAACAAAACAAAATAAAAACCCCCTAGGAATCAACCTAATGAAAGAAATCAAAACCTCCTCTCTGAATACTATAGCACTCTGAAAAAAAAATTGAAGAAGAGGACATCAGAAAATGGAAAGACATCCCTTGCTGCTGGGTAGAAGAACCAATATAGTAAAAATGGCCATACTTCAAAAACTGCTCTGTAGTTTCAGTGCTATCCCAATTGAAACCCCAGCAGCATACTTCAAAGACCTTGAGAAAATAATCCAACTGCTTTTGCAATTCTAGGAAATAAAGACAAGGTAGCGGGTATCACAAACCCCAAGTTGAAACTATACTGCAAAGCTGCTATGATAAAAACAGCATGCTACTGGCAAACAAACAGATCCGAGGACCAGTGGAGTGGATTAGAAGATGCAGAAACAAATCCAGACACACTTGGCCACTTCCCCTTTGACAAAGAAGCCAAACACCCTCACTGGAGGAAAGATAGCCTCTTTAATAAATGATACTGGAATAACTGGGTTTCAACTTGCCAAAGATTAAAACTAGACCTATATCTCTCACCATGTGCTAATCTAAAATCAAAATGGAATAAAGATCTAAATATTAAAACAGAAACACTAAGTGAGCTGGAAGAGAGGATAGGGAGAACTCTTGAAGGCATTAGCATAGGAAAAGATTTCGTGAACAAAACTTCAGTTGCACATGAAGTAGCACAAAGCATCAACAACTGGAATATCTTCTTATTGAAATGCTTCTGTCTACATGGGAAGAGAAACCACCAGTAGCATGAAGAGACCACCCAGAATGTGGGAAAATATTTTCACCAGCTGTTCCTCAGAAAAAAGTGTACTATCTAAAATATATAAAGAACTTAAAAAAATCAGATGTCCCAAATTTAAATACCTGGTCCAAAAATGGGCCATCTGAAGTGAACAGACATTTCTCAGACAAAGAGTAGAAATAGCAAATAAATACATGAAAAATAATGTTCAACACCACCAGTCATTTGAGAGATGCAAATGAAAACTATGCTGAGATTCCACCTCACCCCAGAAAGAATGGCTGCTCTCAAGAAATCAACCAACAACAAATGCTGGTGGGGCTGTGTGGAAAAAAGAACACTCCACTGTTGGTGGGAGTGTAGACTGGTGCTATCACTGTGGAAATCAGTATGGTGATACCTCGAAGAACAAGGGTTAGATATCCCATTTGACACAGCTATTCCTTTGCTGGGTATCTTTCCAAATGATTTAAAAGAATCATATCACAGTGATATATGTGTACCCATGTTCATAGTGGCATAGTTTGTAATAGCTAAAACATGGAAAGAGCCCAATTGCCCATCAACTGGAGACTGGATAAAAATGTGTGTGTGTGTGTGTGTGTGTGTGTGTGTGTGTGTGTGTGTTTTATAAAATAGAGTACCACTCAGCCATAAAGAATGAGTAATTAGAGACATTCATAGCTAAACAGATGCACATTGAGGTGATACTCTTAAGTTAAATAAATAGGACATACATGTGTAATTACTGTATAGTTTTTCCATTGTGAGAAACTGAAAGTGTAAATAGGCATCAAAATGTATAATAGATTATGTGAAATAAAAGAAAGGTGCAAAGGAAAAGGGCAAGTGGAAGGGTTAGGGGAAAGAAAAAAAGGAATGGAATTAACATGAAGAAATGAAAAAATGGAAATGAAGTTTTTGTAAATAGAGAGGGGTGGAGGGTTTGAAGCAAAGGCAAGAAATGGGGGAAAATAAAAATCAAGATATATTATGTAAAGGTACAAATCTCCAATGATGAATGTCATTATATTGTATACCTAAAATATAGCAATAAAGTTAATAAAAAATTTGTAAGTAAAGAAAACACTGAGAATTAAAGAAATTGAAACTATTGTTGTCATTCACTCTACTTCCAACCTCTGTCAAATTACCCAAGGCCTATACAGATTTACAGTGAGGTCCACCAATACACCTGAGAGGATTTCATATTGTCCCAAATGTGAAATAAAAACTTCCCAGATCATCTTGTGAGGCCAATAAAATCTTGACTCCAAGAACATAAAGAAAATAAAAGAAAGGAAAATTATAGCTGTTTCTCTTATAAGTATTACTTCTAAAATATGAGCAGGATCTGGCCATTTTATCACTTCCTCCTTAAACATCAAAGCCACCACTACCTTTCATGTACACTTTTCAACAGATCTTATTTCTACTCTTGACCCATTGCTATCTATTCCCACATTGATAAGAGTGGGGTGTTGTTTTACATTTAAGTTCTCATGCTTTTTATTTCCAGATATTTATCTGAATATCTCCCCTACAAAAAAGCCCTTCCTCTTCTTCCATAGGTTCATTCTTCTTTATTCCTTTTTTTTTTTTTTGGTACTGGAGATTGAACTCAGGACCTTGTCCTTGCAAAGCAGGCAGTGGCACCATTGAGCTAAATCCCTGGCTCACTTCTTTTTGCTTTTAT